CAAATCGTGAATGAGATATTTCTGAGAGTAAAGGCAAGGAAAAAAGCATTATTTTGCCTGTGTCATCCTCTGGACATGTTTCCAGTGACAGCCCACGTACCCTGTCTTTGCAGAGGAGAGAGGATACTGCTGTGTAAGAGTGGGCCCCTTGCTGTCCTGGCTCTGGGCAAGCTTGATCCTGCTTACAGTCCAACTCTTTAACCAAGGAGTGTTTTACCAAAATTATTTAAAAGTATAATAGTTAAGGGAGACTTGTAAGATTCTGTAAGTATTCTAACACCAACAGGCTTCTTATACTTTCAGAAGAAAACTAAAGGAGTTGTTAGATATTTTCTTGTAGCAGCTGAAAGTTTTGGATGGTTGCGCAGAACCAGACCCATTTTCTAAAAAATTGCTTTTTGTTCCCAAGGTCTTGAAATTATGCTAGAACAAGAAAACTGAAATAAAATGCATACTATTCTGAAATTAGATGAGTGGTTTAATTAAAAACAAATTAGCTAGTCATTCCTTGGAAATCTGGGTGACGTGAATATGCCAGTTTGCTGTGCAATAGCAGTGAGCCTTAAATTCAAAGTCCTTCTACAGCAAACATCCTTTCCCCTCCAAAGGAAAGGACAATTCTCACAAGCAGAGCAAAACATGGTTTAATGAAATTAATTTGCTGGACAGAACTATTCCATAATTACTAAGCAGATGATGTTGTGATTAGGTCTTATTATCCAGAGTGACTGTTTCTTGAGAAACTCTCTTTATGGGTGCAGTTAGTTCATGGCATGTCGTCTTACTGAATCACTCAGGTCCTCTAGTGCTCTCTTAGAAGAAAAAGAGCTAATTCTGTTGGACAGAGACTGAGAGAAGTAATTCAAGAACTTTTGTTTTCACTTTTCTGTACCTTCTGCTTTCTTTTACTGTTTCCAGTCACCTCAGATACTAATACATGGTAATGAACCTGATAACATTTAATGAAGCTTTAAAAGTTCTCTGTCTTCAGCTGTTTTCACTCTGGTCAGATCTGGATACTCATGAAATGGAAAAGATTTTATAATAATACAGCAGAGTTTTGGCCCTAAATATCATTTTTCTAGGAAGACAGTTATGTATGCAGTCCCACACATTGAATGAGTCTTTACATTTTGGAAAGGTCACAGAATTTGAAGCCTTAATCTGAAAGAGCATCCTCTAATGCTCTTAGGGTCTTCTCTAGAGACTTTGCTGCGGCTCATTTATTGTGCTTAGAATGGGCACGATATCATACTGTTGAATGGCTGTATGAATATCTAAGATGGAAAGAAAGCTGCAAGACCCAAAAGACAATAATCTTTTAGAAATGCATAGAAGCATATGGCAGATTTTTTTTATCGTAGTAACTTGGTGATTTTGGCATCCAATATTCCCAGAGCTCCTCTTGGAGATTATTCATATCACCTTGTTTTAGGATTGCAACCAATATAACCATATTGGGATGCTGATCTCCACAGGCTTACTGTATAGACTGTCTGTACCCCTCTGAAGGAGAGGCAGAGGGAGAGCAGCTGCTTCAGGGAGCTATTTAATACATCTCAGCTTAGGCTTCTGTTCCAGGCCTCTTCCTGGACGTGCCTCACTCCTTTCCTCATCATCTGTCAAGGCAGCCGAGGACTTTCTTTTTAAATGAGGAGCCACGTCTGTGAACTTGAAATGGCATACCTTGTGTTAGATGGTAGGAACACTCCTTTTCTGTGCGTTTTGGCATCTCACTGCAATGCAATGGTTGGGAATAGGAGAAAAAAAAAATCATACATTAATTCATTGTAAATAGAAGTTTCTCTGAAGCTGCTCAGGACCCCATAAATTCAGAAAAGATTAATAGGAAGACTAGATGAGTGAATACATGTCTAAAGATCTATGAAATATACAGTTTTCATCATCAGAGAACAATTTGTAATTTAGGTGTCTTCACTTTGCTTGTGGAGAGCTGAGGTTTCTGTAAGTTTCTAACAGAAAAGTTTTCTACAAGAGAGATGAAAATACAAATAACATGCCAGTATTGTATTAAAAAAGCTCTAACAAACAGGAAGTCTAAGCTTTCATTTTCATTATGGAATTTCATATTTTTTACCTTTTTAAAATGTCAGCTCAAAGGAGTTTTCATGTATCCAAAAAGCCATAAAAACCCAATTTTGCAATAAAGTTCACTTTATCACTTTTTCATTTCTTCCTAACTCAAGTAAAGCACAAAGCATTCTTAACCCCATTTTAAATATTTCTTGACTTCCTTTTTCCAGTTATGATTCTGCATCATTATATGAAATACATGAAATGTATTCATATCTGTATTTTCATTTTAATGAACTGATTCTGCATCAGGAAATACAGATAAAGCGGAAGGGGTAGTTGTGTTTGTGTGTGTCTGTGTTTGAAGGTAATATTATCTCTGGAAGAAGGTTGTGTTAGTAATATAAATTTAGTTTTCCATTTGATTCTGATTTGTTTATTCATTCTGAAACATTATTGTTCAATGAAATAAGCCATCTATATGCTAACCTAAACTTCCAACTATTTGTAAATAACTTAAAGAGGAGAAAATCCCAATGTAATAGTCTGTAACAGGATTAAGATTTCATTGTCACTGGATTTTTTTGTTGCTTTTATCACTTAAATTTTTTTGCTTTCCTTTTTACATAAGATATTTGTAGTTTGGCATTTGGAATTATAATGGTGATTTGGCAAGGAAGTTGTATCCAGTTTTATAGTCTTTTTTCATAGCATTTTTGTGGACATTTTTTATTTTAAGAAGTATGCATTGCTGTGGTGGGCTGACCCAGGCTGGAGGCCCGGTGCCCCCAAAGCCGCTCTGTCACTGCCCTCCTCAGCTGGGCAGGGGAGGGAAAATGTAATGAAAGGCTTCTGGGTCGAGGCAAGGACAGGGAGAGATCACTCCCCAGTTACCGCCATGGGCAAAACAGACTCGACTTGGGGAAAATTAATTTAATTTACTACCAATCAAATCAGAGTAGGATAATGAGAAATAAAACCTAAATCTTAAAACACCTTCCCCCCACCCCTCCCTTGTTCCTGGGTTTAACTTCACTCCTGATTTCTGTCCCTCTTCCCCACAGCAGCGCAGGGGGACGGGAATGGGGGTTGTGGTCAGTTCATCACACGGTGTCTCTGCTGCTTCTTCCCCCTCAGGGGGAGGACTCCTCACACTTTGCCCCTGCTCCAGCGTGGAGCAGACAGTCCTCCACGAACTTTTGCAATGTGTGTCCTTCCCACAGGCTGCAGTTCTTCATGAACTGCCTCAGCGTGGGTCCCTTCCTCAGGGTGCAGTCCTTCAGTCCCCCACGGGGTCACAAGTCCTGCCAGCACACCTGCTCTAGCGTGGGCTGCTGTCTCCAGGGGGCCACAGGTCCTGCCAGGAGCTTGCTCCAGCGCGGGCTTCCCACGGGGTCACAGCCTCCTTCAGGTGCCTCCACCTGCTCCGGCGTGGGGTCCTCCACGGGCTGCAGGGGGGATCTCTCACCCCC